TGGCGGGAATGACGTCACGAGGGTCGGTCTGTTCCGGGGTGATTCAAGGCCCGTTTTGCTCGGCGATATTTAATGCTGGCGTAGTTCAGCCTTGGGGATCGATCGGGTAGGTCGGCGAGGGAGGACGACTGAGACTTACGCGATGTTTTTCGTTTCTTCTCCCCAGAATCAGGATTCTTCAAATAATCGAGGGATGATTGAAAACTACCTACACTCGTTTATTTTATTATAATAAAAAAAAACATAACTTATTGGTCTGTTGTCGGGATCGTTCACGCGGCGGTCCGCAGCCCAGGAGACACGGGAGCATGGCGAATCGCGATGCGTCGATGGACGTTCGACAGCCGTGTGTTGCTGAATTTCGTGCGTGACTGGAAGAAATCTCAGCTGAGACATGAGCGTTATTGCTCTAGGCACGACCGCAGCCTCGGCGGCGCATAAAAATGTCATACGTTTGATTGAGGAACTCCTGTTGTAGTTATTTTAAGAACCCTGGCATGATCTCAGGGTGGAACCACACCTTTCCCGAGAAGTCGGGAATTTCGAAGTACTGAGGGACGTTTATGGTCACACCTCAAATCTCATAGCCACAAGCAACACACTGATAGCCGCATTATTGTCCGCTCATGAAGCCGAAGATACAAGGATATTACACATACAAATTGCTTCTCAAAGGGTCTCGTGCAAAAAAAAAATGGACAGACCAAGTACAGGTACTTCGGTCAAATAAACCTTCCAGGGATCTGGCATCTGGCACCACAAAAGAACAAAGAAGTGAGAAAGCTGAAGGGTAGGTAAGACAAAGAAGAGAAAGATTAGGGCCCACACGAGATGGGGATGAGTGGGTTGATACCACCAGGGGAACAGGTAACCTAGTCGGAATTTAAGGTGACAGCAAATGGAGACCTTGGAGCCTGATGCTGGTGATTTGCAAAATTTAAGTGAGATGAATTCGACTCAGAAGATTTAACACAGATGCCATGAATTTTGCTCCATGAAACAATTAACAAAACTAAACCCAGTGCTAACTACTTCATGTGGGATTTTTCACAAGGACATGTCCTTCCTGTCTGGACCAAACGTCTCAGGTTCTGAAATCAACAATACCTCATTTCTGGTTCATATCTTTATATATCATAGGTAATTTTGGAATGGAATGTCATGTCACTATCAGGGTAAAAAATTATATATCATAAAAAAGTAAAAAAGGCACATGTTGAAAGGGTCAATTGGTGATTGTTGCATCACATAGCTGTTGTAGCTGCTTGTGAAGGGTTTCATAAACTTTCCTTTTGTCCATCTCTTTTGGCATTGAGAACATGGGCTGTCCCTCCTTATCCAGCAGCCTGAAAGACGCAGAGGAGAAAAATATTTTAGGGATCAGTCCAACCATTAAAATGAATCATGGTCAGAGATTCATGTTTTGGATTTGAAAGTGGGTCTAAGGCACTCCATCAATCAAAAGCCAAGAGTACTTCATTTTTGGACTTGGAGGAGTTCAGGCTGTTTCTGACTAAATGGAGAAAGAAGATAGAGGATGAAAAGAGGATCACCTGTTCAGAAGCATGAGGGCAACCTGTGGACTGATCCGGTTGTACTTGCTGCCTTCTTTATCAAAGTCTTCAAAATACTTATTCCAGTCCCATGTCAAGAGAAGATCCAAGATTTGCCTCAGCTGGGCAAAGCAAAGGAGCATGGAGTCCTCATTGATTCCCTCAACCGGCTTGGAACATGCAAAATCTGGAGAACGAGTAGTGATGCATAGACATGGGAAGCAGGAAATACCTTATATTAATAAGAAACAAAATATGGACCACTTCAGAATATCACTGAAGTCCATGTTTATAAGAAAGCCCAAAATAAATTATTGACAAGAGGAAAAAAAACACTCACGCTCGCACTGGATGACATCCAGATTGAGCTGGACCAAAGCTGCCTGTGTCATTTGTTCCATCTTCTCATCGAGAAGCATATCCAACAGCATCTTACTTAAATGGTGGCATGCCAGCCAACAACCCCGTTGAGCTACAGATGTCTAAAGGAAAGGAATGGGTCATGACACCTGAATCCAGCATGTGTTCATCAGAGTTCCAGCACTTACCGGTAAATGAGTGAAGGAGCGGAATGTATTTTCGAGGAATGCAATCAGATCATTGATGTATGGACTGGCATACCCTTGTGCCTCTTCAAGCATCCAATTGTAGTCTGCTTGCTCCACCAATTTTGTCACCTTCTCACGAAGTCGGTCATAGATACCCTGTTCGGCTTCAGCCTTTGCTTCCTGTAGCACTTGTCTGTCTTCCTCAGGACAGATTTCCCCATATATTCTGGAATAAAAGGACCCATGAGATAGTTCCAAGAGTACAACACACCTCATGAATATGGCAATTTCCCTACGTTCTTTTGGTGTAAAATGCTTTGCATGGTAAAAAAAAAAATTCATCCCAGCAATAATATTTTGAGCATAAAAGTTCCCATTCTAATATACAACTGTTCAAAGCACTTACCCTGTGAACTGAGATATATATAGATCAAGATGGGGAATAACATCCTCCAGGCAGTTCATGTTGACAAAGATTTGTATGATTGGAGTTAGGCCCAGGGAGGAGTCTCGCAAAAGGGAGCAAAGACTACCATTCAGTGTCCGAGACAACAACAGACCAGTTGCTTTCCTCACTGCCTCATCAACTTCAAACTTCCTAAATTTCATAAATGGAAGCCATAGGTAATGGTGAAGTACATTATAAGGGAGAGGAGGGGAAGGAGAGGGTTGGAGGAGCGAGAGTCTACCTCATCCCCAGGTCTGATGAGAAGCGATGGAACTGTGCAACGAAACTCTTGACTTGGCTGTAAACTTTGGGCACCATGAGAGAGAAGGGGATTCTTCTGGGGAATCCTTCATCTTCCCCATCCTGTTCCAGATGAACCACAAACAGTTAGGACATTTAATGTAAATCCTTATCAGCAGATGAGGCTTTGGTAATGCTTCTTGCCATATCAGAGAAGGGGAAAACAGATGTGATCTGTTGGAGCTCATCAGCATCCTCTACTTCCATGGCTTGATAGTTGTCTTCCTCGAAGATGTCCCAGAATATCTGCAGAGTTGTGCACCAATTAATTTCACTATGCTTTAGTAACATTCCACATAAACTTCTAGGGCATAGAAAAAATATTTTGCTTTGAAAGAAATAAAATGAAGGTAGAGTTTTTCATCACCTTAATCCACTGCTGCATCAAGATTTCCATGTAGTGATCTTGGAGATCCTGCCACAGAGATGACAATTTCTCAACAGCAAACCCATATGCCTAAAAGGAAGAGAAAGAAGCCAATTATATAAATAAATAAAATCAACTCTAAGGCCTACTCTCCCACTCTCTTGTACAGATACACAGAAAGGTTCTTGTAGGGAAAGATCTGTCTGAGCAACTAACCCGAAGTGTGTGGCTGAAGAGAAGCAAGTTGTCTTTGACATCCACAATTAGAGAGGCTTCCATGCATGATCCCTACAAAAAAACCATCATCAAAAGCTTTCAGGAATACACCTTTTGGCTGAATACATTTGTTCATTTTTGGATATATCATATTTCAACCTAGGTAGCAGTCCTCTTCTCACTCTTTGGAAAATTTGAAAACAATACATAGCTTCTAATTATTTAGACAAGATTAGACTTCCCTCTTTTATAACAAAGATGGTCTTGGGCCAGATTTTGAGCATTAACCATTGAATCCTATAACTGCCAGAACTTGGATGGTCGAATGTTTAACTTTTTGTTTCATCTCTTAATTCCCAAAGAATCTCTTAAAATTACTTTTTCTCATCATCATGAAAACACAGAGTATCAGACCTTACAAGTTTATAGCACAGACAACACAAATGGCTACATTTTTCCATCAGTGTCCATTTGATCCAGAACAGTAGTTACAGGGTCAACTGGGTATTAATTCTTTAGCTGTCATTGCGAAACACTCCCTAGATGAGTATGATGTACATATATGTCAATCTATTTTTCAAATTTGAGCTAAATATAGAAACTCAAAACTTTAGTAAAATTGGAAAGAGTATGAAAAAATTTCTTTACAAAAACACTAATTATATCTCTATATACTATTTTTTAAAAAAGTCCCCACTACAGGGACTTTTTGGTTCAAGGATGTGACTTCTGTCCAAGAAATTCCCCAGTTAACCCTCCTGCAGGCCAATTTCTTTTCATCCAATCATCCTTGTTTTCATGAGTGGTCTCAGCTCATGAGAGGGTTAAATGGTTAAATCAAGGAAATTTCACAGTCAATTTCAAATGGCAAAATCATTCTTTCTCAAATCAAGCCTTCATTTGTGCAATACAAACACAGCAAACTCTGATATAGACATAATCACCTTATTGAAGAGGAATGCTGGAAAGCCAACTCACTATGCTCATCTGAAGAAAGGAGACAACTTCATTGAATGAAGTCTCCCAGAAAGACTCCAGGTACTCTTTACTCAGTATACCCCATGACTCTGTGAGGGTCAGGAGGTGATCTTCAACGAGGAACATCCCGAGGATACTATGAAGATACTCACGCAATGCCTCCAGGGATTCATGCTGCATGGAGGAATGAAAGAATAATGACATGACTTGGTAACTACTAATATGCAAGATATATGAAACTTTCATCTCCCCTTTTCTTTGTAGGAGCAAAGCATTACGGGGATTTTGAGGTACTATTATGATCATGGTAGTTTGAAGAAAGTTTTACAAACAGGACTGATGTAAAAAGCAAAACTCTGAAAATTTCTTGGCAGTCACTTTAAATATGACAAGAAATTCTCAAATATGAGTGCTTCTGCAGTGCATCTGCAGGGAGCCATTACCTGGGGAGAATACTGAGATGCAAACATTTCATCATTAGCCCTTTAATTTAGCACCCATAACAAAATCAAACCATCAATAATTTTACTTCAACATCAGTAAGAGATCTTGGGAGATATTGAGATAATAAAAAATAACAGAGTTGTAGGTCAACATGGATTAGATCCAAGGAGAATTCCCTCTTTTCTGTATTCAATATAATACATTAGCTAAGCATCATTTTCACTGAGAGGAGAAAAGAGGCCTAAATACAGGCCATTGTGCTCAATATTATTCCATTCACAAGTAAGCATGCAGAAAATTTAAAACAAGGGTCATCAACTAATCAGAGGTATTGATTAATGCACACATCACTGTTTTGTGAGCGATTTTCATCATCTGCTTGTGGTCAAGTTCTGCAAAGTGCCCCAATTAACTTCTATGAGTTCTTATTCTATAAGATGAGACTGATATTGAAATAGCAAACTTCTAGGAAATAAAAAATTCAAGATGAGTAAAGAAATCATGAGTAACAGTGAATAACGAATAAAAAAATCACAAGCATGACATTCCATATCGGTCAGGATGGAGAAGGACCTACCATATTGTGAGGTGGATGAAGAAGCATTTGGGCCTGTTTCTTTCTCTTGAATCTGTAATCATTTATGAAGGTTTCTCTCTCACCCTGGAATGAGAAGGAATAAATGAATACACTCTGTGATCTCAACTGAATATAAGCTCAATACTATGTTCATGATATCCCAGAATTGGCCACATAACCCTCCCTCTCTTACTCCATTTCTATGATTACGTCTGACTTTTGAGAGATTTCACAACTGGTACAGAAGGAAGCTTGGAAACTAATGCAAACTAAAACATTGATCATCATACAGGAGCTATAATTAGGTATTCTATATTACTTCCAATTTCCAGCTATCCTTTACAATATTACCAAGAACAGCTTTGGCATGAAGATTTTGATGCTTAGTCTCAACCTCACCATTTTGAACCACTGCCCGTGAAACTGAAAATTGCATTAGCCATTACCTTTTTCATACAAGAATAGAGTTGGTAATGGATTTTACTTAAGTATTTCTTTTTGCATCCCCTAATATTGTCATCATCCTTAAAAATGGGAGTGAGCAAACTACCCAGTTTCCATTCAGATAAATTCATTAAAAGAATCTGGTAAGACTTGTTCACTAGAGTATTCCAAAGGAAGCTGCTACAGGTTGCTTTCTTTAGTTAATCTTGTGCTTGCTGCAGACACATTTGTGCAGGAAAATAGTTGACAAGTTGATTGAAGACTCTCAAGAAACTACAATGCATTGAATTGGTCACAGATGAGTAGAAGTGAATATAGATGCAGTAACCTAATCTTGAAGAATATTAGGGAATAAATCATCATTGAGGATTCTAATAGCCAAGATCTTTCACAGGATTTCAACTTCCATTGAAATAGATCCAATCTAATGAAAGGGGAACCTCAGCATTAGTCATACAATAAACTCTGAAGACTTTTAATGCGGTCACAATAACCATGTTTTTTTAATATTAACATTCATGAGGCCCAAATGATCTTGGAATTCATGTCAATAAATGCTAAATTGAGAACGAAGTGAAAGTAAAACCAATTCAACAAAATTAGGGTCAATTTGATGAGAATCATACCAATGATGAAAAAATGTGGAAAGCTCGAAGGACAGGGGTGAAATCTACGCTCTCCAAAGGGTTTGCCTGCATCATATCACTCTCAGCTTCACAGAAGGAACCATTTTGCAGACTCGAAAAAATGAGACTGCTGCCCAAGCAGGATTCCTGCTCTTCTGCAGTCTAAGCAACATAGTCAAAAGCAACAAACTTCAGCTTCATTAGAGTCACTAGAGTCATTAATTGGGCTAAATGATGATTGAGCTCACCTGAAGCATAGCAAATTTCCCTATCAAGGCGTTGATAGGATGTAATCTTTCCAGGAAATCCTTTAATTCTGTCTTCACAGCTGATTTCATGGCATCCTCAAATTTTGGCAGCATCCCTTTAATGCTCTTCACAAACCTGTTAATAGATAATCATGCATATTAACAAGGCATATGGAAGTCTGCACTGGACATTTGGCAGATAATAGACATCACTTCAGGCAACTTGATAGTTTTGGTAGTAGATATGATTTCTACAGTTTCACATGAAAACATGAATCTTTACAGATGAGACAAGATCCACAATGGCTAATTTTCTCATGGCAAAGGAGAAAGTAGCAAGAACTTGTTCATATGGTAGACAAACAACACCTCACTCATCAAAATAATGAATAAAACATGGAAGAGAAATGCAACTCATTGATATGACATGTAATTTCAACTGGAGAGTCTCCTTGCATGCATCAAGGCACCTTGTAGTAATGCATGCCAAATTAAACAAAATCTCTCATTAGATATACATTTCTTATTTTTCATTCACACAGAAAAATGCTAACTACTATAGTCCTGAATCAACAAATTGCTCTTTTCCAGTCAGTAAAAACTTTTCCTTGAAGTTGGAATCTCTTAAATCTATATTTTTTTTCTCTCTCACTGAGGGCCAATTGATGCATAGATTAAACTTGGGTGACTTTAACCCAGGGCTATCCCCATGCATTTCCTATGGGTTTGATCCTGGATTCTCATCCCCTCATTCATCAACCGACAGAAGAGTATTTCCATTTATTGTTATACCAATTAGGGAAATTCCAAGAACTTGCCTGTAGTGAGGTATTTGTTCCAAATATTCATTTTCAAGAACTTTCAAAGTCCTCAAAGCATCAAGATGGCTGCAAAGAAAGAGAAGTACAAGCATGAGTATCACTCATTCTCCTTGCTGAAAAATGGTGCAGATATCACACCAGTGTTTTAAAAATTAGTAATAAAATATGCAGTTTTCAATTAGAATATAGCTTGGAAAGGAAATTGTTGAATTTAAAGGTGGTGCAAAGGCTTAAAATCCATGTAGAGCAAATAATAAAATTCACAAGATTGAAGGTACATCAGGATCAGGTACATCAACAATTACTTTCCATGTTTACTAGTATGGACTATTGTTGGAACATCTGTACCATCAGCTTGGAGAAACATAGCAGTCATGAAATATTAATAACAACTCATGAAAGCAAATGTCCAGTTTGAAGAACTTTGTTTGAGGACTTTTGGAGACTATACAATGAAAGACATTTGATTTCAAAAACATAATTCATCCTGATAGTTTAAACAAAATGTAACTGTAAGAAGCATCCATCCCATATCTTCTGTAGGCAATGTCCTGTGAGAAGTCATGATACTTATCCTGCCATCTTCAAAATATCTCAGATTAGGGTGAAAGCCCAGTTGCTTGAATAAAACAAAGTAATAAAATGCTGAATTAGAAGTAGGGATGGTTTTTGTTTTTCATCAGGTGAACTTCAAACAATACTCAGTAGAAGTGATGATGGGAAGGGCAAAAAGCATAAAGATGGAACACTTGTAATGATATGAGATTTTCAAAAGATGAACAGGACAATTATTTGCCCTAACTTTTCCCATCTGTTTCAGACTTTTATACAGATTTTAGTCTCTTCCAAGCATTTAAACATTTTAAATCTAAATCTTAAATAAACCAATGCAGAAATCTCTCCTTTCAGCTGACACCTGAATCCAATTAAATGCAGGCATCAGACATCCTGCCAGAGTTCCCCTCTCTTTCCAAGAATATGTCTAGAGCCTTGGATTTGCACTTTCTGGCCAAGTTAATAATACAATTCAACCACTCTATGACACAGGACTACATTGAATGCTGGTGCTTGTCATACTGACATTTTTCTGGTTTTTATTTATTTATAAACTCATATATGCTTTGTGCCTCTAATAATTCAGTGCTAAAAATGTATTAATGCACTGCAAAATATGGGATAATAATTTTTTGCTTTCCACCCCTCTACTTGGTGCCATTGAAATTGCCTTTAGCACCAGCAAAAAATGTGTGAGATCATGATTGGGCATTGGCCAAAGATTACAATCAGTATAGCCCTAATTTAAACCCAGACCTCAAAGCTGATGGCACAATATGCAGATGGCTGGATGAGACATATTTGACAGGCAGCCTCTATTTGGAGGAAGAGAGAATGATTCAAAGATATTCACCAGTCTATGAAATTGTCCTATATGATGTGATTTTTGCAACTGCTTCACAAACCATTGATGTCAAGCATGTTATGTTTCAGTGAAGAAGACAATGGTCAAAAACTTGGTAAGTTATGAGAATACAGAACAATTTTAGCACATTTAAATATCTTGTATAGATTTTTTATTGTCAGAAAAACTTCAGATTAGACAGTAGAATAGGGACTATTGACATTAAACATATATAATGGGTGAAATTACAATTATTAACTGCTTTTTCTAATCAGGAAGTTTTTTGGGGTCAGTTTTTGCACCACCATGCAAACAATCAACTTCTAGAACATCTGCCAAGGTTAACAACTTGTACTTGGACACTTGAGCAGTATCTCCAATCATGCATATAAATGCAATTGGAGTCATACCTATTCATTAGCATTTCCTGCTCAAGTCTTGCGTACATCTCCAAAATTGGGAGGCAGTGAGATAATGTTTCAATAGCCATCTGGATGTTCTTCCGCAGAATGACAGCAGACTTCACTTCTGCAGCAGCTGAGAGCAATAAACCTGAAGATTCTTGGATTTCTGAGTTTATGGCACTTGTCACTTCCTGAGGGAGGAAAAATCAACTATAGAAGCATTGAATATTATCATATTTGCATTGAAGACACTCTTGCTAAGTTTTTCGCAATTTTATGCTGTATCCTGCTGAAACCTGGCTTACCAAAATGATAATTTGGCAATAATTATGCTCTCAATACCATTATTATCATTATTTTTGTGAATAATATGTCTTATTTTTGATAACTATCATAATTACCACTTTCACAGTTGGTAACCAAAATCGAAGATTATGGGAATAGGATAATACATGGCGATATGTCTCCAATCATCAAAAGTGAAGTGAATAATTATTCATTTTTCCTCATCTACAGCCTTAACAGCAAGCTCCACTGCTGGGGGATATATTCTGCTTAAAAGAGGTTCTTGCAGTGGATGGCTGGTGCCACATATGAGAGGATGCAGAATCCTGCCATCTGCAAGAACTTTTAAGACAAGCAGCTGCTTCTTTGGATTAAGAGATACCAAGACAGTTGGTTTGGACATGTCTCCTGCATGCCTCCCAAAAGACTTCCCCAGAGAGTCTTCTAATCTAAAATAACTGGCAAAAGACCAATTGGCAGGCCTTGTGCAAGGTGAAAGGACTACATCATGAATCTTTGCCATGAAAGGCATACCACCTGGTGAGTTTAAGTCTGTTGTCCAAAACTGAAACACTAGAAGATGCTCCTGGGCAAGCTTGAGCCAGGACCTCTTCAAGTTAGGACAAGCTGTTTCAAAAATGCACGTATACAAGTAAAAATATAAAGACCAGATTTGCATTGGCTCCTTGTGTAATTCGTCAGATTTATCCTCAGATTCAGATGCTCAGAATTCAAATAACACTGGATTTGGACTGTGAGAATAGTGATCCAACTCATCTGTCAGCAATTACATATAATTAACAATGCTTGGAATCTGATAGGATGTGGCTAATGCCATATCAGGGGCCAAGAGTATAATGTTCATCCTTAAAATCAATGTTTTCTGCTTGCTTTCATCAAAGCATAGGTTTTTTCTTTTCTTCCAGCAACTCTAAGATGCACCACTCTTTTTGCCACTTGTTGATGAACATCGGCATCAGGTGGGAAGAAAAGGTCACAAAAATCCTTTATTTCATGATAGACCTTCATGATAATGGAACCCTCCACCTACAGTATGTGCTTTCACTGCTTTTGAAACAACCAAGGAATTTAATAAAAATAATCTTTGGAATTTTTCCAGCACATTTCCAAGGCTTGGCATTCACCCAGCTCCATGTCTCTCTCTCTCTCATGACCATCTGATATAACAAATTCTAAAGTGTTTCATTATCTTACTAGATTAGATATTGGTTAAAAGATAAACTGAGGAATGATATCATATATGCATCCCCATACACATGGTTCCCTCTTGGAGGGAGGAGTTCACTCTTTTCAGTCAGAATAAGATTAATGTAACGGGTATGAACAAAGAGTAGTCATTAAGGCTCCACACTTCCCATGTGGCCAAGGCAAACCCATACAGAAGATCAACTATGAAAGTTGTATGCAGAGGTAAATACATGCTAATGTTTGCCATGAACTTGGAGATGTTCAATCAATCTGTCAGCAAGCCAAGGGATAATGAGTATCCCCACCCTGTCTAAGCAAACACAGTTGGGCTGACTCCACTCCAGTGTGTAGTTCACCTGTGATGCTGGGAAATGGAACAAGGCCTTCCTTCTATGTTGATGCTAAAATGATTACATGTAAGCATAGCTTAACAACCTTTTCCAGGAGTTCTGAATTCTTACTGCCCATTGTCCATAAACTACCAATTCCCAAAATCCAAAACCTGTTGTCTGGATTGCTCAACCTTCTGTTATAAATTTTTCTAAAGCATAGTAACTACTCCATTCCAACTTATTTCCTGAAAATTCCAAAGTGTGCTGACCTAGCTCCTTTTTTCAGCATGGCACAAGCATCTCTTTGTGACACCAAGTTTCACTGGAATCAATGTGGGCTGGAGATGGGGAAATTGATGTCAGATGGAGTCCAACCACAGAGTACAATCAGAAATAATCACGTCAGATTCTGTCTAACAATGGACCACAAAGGATTAACCTTTGGCTCCACTCCTGATCTGTCTTACAGCATATATTCAAAGGTACTCTATAGCTAGTGGAAAGCTACAAGGTAAGGCAAAAGCTAACCATAATATTACCAAATTATTTTCCTTCAGGTCACAAATCTCAGAACAAAAGAATAAGCAATAATTATATCTATTTTTTCCTGGGATATTTTTTGTGAAGCAAGCTTTAAGTTCATCATACTGGTACCAATGGCAAATGAAAAAGACCAACCTTTAGGCAGCGAAAGGTGATTTTTGATTCTTCAAGTTCTCTGACTGCTTTAACAAAGTTCTCATAATGCATGCTGCAGAGATTTTCAATTTTGACATCCAACTCAGTGGTTTTGTTCTCCATCTCCTCCATATAAGATTCATCACATATACTCCTGCAAGAATAAGAAATGACAGACACAGTGAATCTTAGTGCTTGTGGCATAAATGCATGGAAACAGGTTTATCCATACCTGAGGACCATCCTGAGTGTGTCCCAGTCAGAGTTACAGGGAGATTCAAGAGCACCTGCATCATTACTGTCATTTTGTATGTCTTTCAGATCCAAATTCAATCCCAGCTTCAGCTCAGACAGAAAATCATCTAATCCTGGAGATTCTTCACTGCTAGGCACATCCTGATGAGTGTCAGGAGATGATGATGCTGCTGGCTGACAATCCATGGTTGCATTTGGAAAGTCCTTTGTTGAGAAAAGAAACTCCACTGCAGCCCCCTCCTATGCCATTTATAACATGGACTAGCATTCATGGGGGCATTCTGATATCACAGAATTCCTGTCATAAGAAAATGGCAGGTTCACTTCTATGATTAGGCAGTTTTTGATGTTGTTCTGATGCTGACTAATGAAGAGGAGGAAGTCATTGCCACTGTAGAGTCACTGGTTACACCCAGTCTACATTGTCATCTTGCAACTGCTAGTACTACAATTATCAGGGCTATGGCAGTCAGTGCTATCAACTTATGGCCAGGAATGCCCACATGAAAATTCCATGTATGACAGGGTGTATGATTCTATATAGTCATGTATGATCATATATTTGCCATATACCACCATATATGTATTCATATATTAACAATTGTATGGTGTATAATATATTTTACCTGCATTGCAATATTAAGTCTGATGGGAAAATGGTATCATGTCTGATATGTATCCATAGACAAGTCTTATGGTTGTAAGTAAAACATGGCATGAGGTCAGTGGTGTATTTTGGCTGAAGAGTCAGGGGGGACAGGGCAGCAGCGTGGGGGCACCAAACCCTGTCCCTGGGATGCCGAGGGGGGGGCACCCCCCTGCCCCCTTCCTGGAAAATATGCCACTGCATGAGGTTGTTACACATGAGGGCAATTGACCTTCAGATGCCTCTGTAACTAATTTTTAATGCACCCATTATATTTTAGATGAAATATTAGGTATGTATAACCTTTAAAGTAATTTGCCAAAAGTTTGATTTTGAACCCCCAGCTGAAAGTCCCAGTTAGAAACAGCTAAATTTACAGCTGGACCTCAGTTGGAAATTCAGACCCATTACTTTCCCATACTTTCCAGGTGGGTAGCAGCTGGAAAGTAAAGTCAGATCCAGATTGTTCCTAATTGGGGGAATTGGTGGAATGAGAATGTTTTTATTGGCTTTTCTTGCTGGAGGTCCATCTATAGAAGCAGCTGAATTTCAACTGCAAATTCAGCTGTATTCCAACTGAAGGGTCCTCTGAATAAAATTCTAACCATAAATTTCCAGCTGTAAAACAACCTGTAATTACCATTTTTCAGCTCTTTGCCAGTTGGAAATGGTCAGAATATACAGCTTCTGTCCACCTGGAAATTTCCAGTCAGGGTTTCAAACTGGGCCCTACCCTCTCTAGGTAACATAAGCATATTGAGGATGAAAAAAGTGCGGGAGGAGGGGGGGCACAAGAACTCTGGGACACTGTTATCATGCATTTCATGGATCTTTTTCTTCGTACTAATGTGTTTTTTGTTGTTAAGTGGGGGGCACATGTCGTGCCATGCCTTCATTGAACAATTCCATCATTGGACTATTTCAGGAAGTAATAGGTTTTTTCCCCATTAACTTGTGAGTTGTCATTCAAGATGAAGAAGACACTCCTACATGAATAAGCCAAGTTTTGTCATGAAATAGCATTACTGATGAAAATACTTGTGAAGGTTCAAGTCTATAATATTGAAACTTCCACCTTCATTAACAAGGATGCATATGTTGAACACCATGGAACATGAGTTCTTGGAGTAATTGACTGTGGTCTATGAACAATTAAAAATAAGTTGATTGCAAGAAAGGTATGGTGACTCGCATATGAATGAGCATACAGTATTTGATGGATTATGGATCCTTTTTGGATACAGGCATGTTTCAGGTAATCTCACCATACATAGATATGACATGGCATATATGGACAGTATATGGTGCATTCGTATGAGCTAATATATGAAAATGTATGGGGTTGTATATTTTCCTTCTTATATGATTTTGTGACTTGTGTCAAACCCTATACATGTTTCATATATGTTCATATATGAATTGCAGTATATGGTCATTTCATATATGGTCTTATATGAAATTTTCATGTGGGTGCAGACTGAAGTGATACTTTTCTGCTAATAAAATTGGGTGATGGTGATCATTAAGATATCTTAACGCATCTCATTGCTGAGTTCAAGTAGAACATAGACCATTAAATAACAGCATAGCCATCTGAACAGTTTTAAGAGGATGAAGATTAAACATTGTATGTTATAGTTGATTTACCCATTTCCATTAAAAATAGAGAACTTACATGGATCAAAAAGAACATGAAAAATGACAAACTTCTCCACAAAAGGCCTTCTTAATCCATCTGTCAACTCATCCAGGAACATAAGCACTTCAACAAGGTTTCCTACAAACAGTGTAGATGCCTAGTATTTTTGTCAATTTTTGCATATCCCAAACACAAACAATAAAAATTTGACAAGATTTGCCATGGAAAATGCAGCATTTGGAAAGTACGTATGGAAGACTATGGTCATATTATCTCCTCTCATGCTCTGGCTTGGCAGCCTAAAATCTTTCTTCAGTTCAAGAAGTTCTATTTGTCTCTCTGAGACACAATTTGTTCTATTAAATTTATTGCATGAGAGTTTGGTTTCTGGATTAACTCCATTTCCTGCTATTAATCATGAAAAACTTCCTTACCATTTCCCCTCTGTAATGCAACCCACCAGTCCTTCCTTCTGCATACTATAATCCAGAAAACTTAACATGCAGACAACTTTTAGATTTCCAAGGGCAGGAGAATACAAAAAAAGCCATTAATCTAATCTCATGTAAGTTTTCAATTTATAGACAATTTTTTTTTGTTAATGTTAATCTTGGTGCATAAACAAGATGAAGAAACTCATACAATCCATAAGGTAGCATCCATAAGGATAGGGATCATGGTTACCTCACAAAGTCTTTTACTAATTCATTACCCAGTGAAATCATGCCCATTTTATTCATTTCTACTACACTTTGAATGTGAAAATAGCAGTCCCAAAATTTGTTTAATTCTTTGAATTGAATATTTAAATATAAGTTTACTTAATTAAATATAATCCAATAAACCTTCAATATACGAATATAAATTAATCCATCACCTTGCTTCAACTAATAAAAGACCCATTGATTATGGAACATAAAAAAAGAATCAGAAAGAGACTAAGACTGAAGATTCCTAAATTCCCTCTTTATCATATCTCCAAATTCTATACATGTGATGCTAGAAAAGGTAGACTTATGTAGGATAGTGGACACTCATTGGATCACAAATGGAAGCACATTAGAGATGAATTAATGGTATTTTTTTGCTCTGCAGCAGCAGAACAGCACATCTGCCTTTTAATTCATGAGGAGAGAAATGAGCTTTTGGATTTTAAGTAGGCACTTTCAATTCTACAGACTGGTCTTGACCTTGAGTTTAGTACTTCTAAGTCTAATGTTAGGCCCACAAGGCCTGTCAATTGACTCATAAGTATATGCTGTTGGTTGGGACACCATCCCATCAAATAATTTCCAACCCTTTCAACAATTATATGGTTCATCCATTCTAATTATTACAAGCCTGCAAGACTCCTTCATAGCAGCTCATCAATCTGCTGATTCTGTCTATTTGTTAGGACCATTGAAAGGGGTTAGAAGGCCATAACCTAGCTCAAACACTAGCACTTTACAGGCATTAAGATTTCCAAAAATGTTTACTTGTGATCCTCCCTAGCCCCCACCTCTCCCTAGGCATCACACCCCACTGTCTGGTGAGGGGTTCAAAGGGGAATTCACCCTCTCCCATTACTCGAGAAAGACCAATGACATCCAAAATCCCTCTATAAATGAAGAATATACTATGACTAACTTAGAACAGATGAACTGTCTGGCGTCTTTAGCCTAGTTTAAGGCTCATAGGCCTATTTTCAGCAGGTAAATATGTCTGGCTCCTTCTAGCCCCTTCCTTAGGCTTAGATCAATGTGTCACTCTAATTTCTGGATTCAATGACTTCAGGGCCTAGGTCTATGCTCAGGTCACTGTCAATGCACATGATTACCCACTGTTTCACTGATATTTTTTCGAGTAGTTGAGATCCATCCATGCAGCTGAAGACATGCCTCACTGAAAAGTGAGCCCAAACGTCAGTCTTAAGTGCAGTCACGCACTCCAATCCAAGCTCCTCATAACATATGTTGCAAGGGAAACGCCATACTTTTTCGCGCCCGTGATTGGTAGCAATCTATATGGATTTTAACGTCTCATGAACAGCATTCTGTCTATTAGTTTGAACGATCCAAAACACTGCAACTTACGTTCTTTCTCGTCTCGGCAGTTCCACATACAATGAGAAATACTGCAATTTCTCAATCTTTATATATCGCTTTTCGTAAAATTTTTGCGCTTTCGAAGCCAGTGGCATGAATCCACCTTTTTTGTGTTTTTGTTATGGACGGAAAGTGGGTCGCCCTATGTAGGGCGTACAAATTGTGTGAAAGTGGGAAATCCCAAAATCGCCTCAATTATCCTGTCTAGTCTAGCCGAGAATGTCTCATTCTCCCAACGGATGGCTTTTAACGAAAAACTCACCCCTAGGTTTATAGAACCTGCGGAGGAGTCAACCATTCAATTAGCAAATAGTAGCTACTTTCATGTGGCATTTAATGAAAAAGCATGGCACTCGTTTCCCTGAATATCAAGCTTTAAACACGGGCTAATCACTGGCGTATCCCTGGTCGCGGGCCTGCGAACTGCTCCTTAACTGAATTCTTATTTGGAATTTGCCTCCAAGTGTAAGGCACACCCGTTCCGATGGAACTCCCAAAATATAACCCTCGAGCCTGAAAATAAAATTCGTCGCCAAAAAAGGGCTTGCCTATATCTGAAAGCTGGACATGCTCATTGACAGTTACTCAACAATTCGCTCAAGCGAATTTTTCGCGCGTTTTTTTACGTCTCGCCAGGTATTAAACACGGAAGGAAAAGGATAAAAGCAAGATTGTGGAACCGGCCGTTACTCGCCGTTCACGCCTGAAACCTGAGGGAAATTCAGTGCGGTGGCATCCGTATGGAGTAAATATCGGTCTTGTTGCGAGGACCGAAATAGTTTATGTCTGGTAAATAGGGTTGCCACCTTTGAAATGAACAAAATATGGAAATATGAACAAATATTCGAAGAATGCTTTTGTATGTGACTTTCCCATGCACACTTTAAATACCTACAGCCACCTTTAACCCAGTAACAATCGATGTTAAAGGAGTGT